AAGAAAGCACTTTACGGACTGAAGCAAGCTCCAAGAACTTGGAATAGCAAGATTGATGGCTATTTTCTCAAGAATGGATTTCATCGAAGTCCTAATGAGCCCTCTCTCTATGTGAAGAAGCAAGATCATGATTTCTTGATTGTGTGCATCTATGTAGATGATCTTATCTACACTGGCACCAATTTAAGGTTAGTCAAGGATTTCAAGCGAAAAATGATGAATGAATTTGAGATGACTGATTTAGGAGTCATGAAGTATTTTCTTGGAATACAAGTGAAGCAGTCCAAAGGAGAAATCTTTATTTCTAAAGAGAAATACACAGAAGATCTTCTGAAGAAATTTCATATGGAGAATTGCAAATCAATTTCAACTCCTATGGCAGCGAATGATAAGTTGAGAAAAGATGACGGAGCAAAAAAAATAGATGCAAAATTGTTTAGGAATCTTGTTGGTTCACTGATTTATCTCACAAACACAAGGCCGGATATTGTTCAAGCTGTGAGCATGATCTCAAGGTTCATGAATGAACCAAGTCAACTTCATTTTGTAGCAGCTAAAAGAGTCGTGAGATACTTGCAAGGAACAAAGAAAATAGGCATCAAATATGTAAAAGAAAATGAGAGCAAGTTGATTGGATATAGCGATAGTGATTGGGGAGGTTCGTTGGATGATAGAAAAAGCACTTCGGTTATTTATTTTGTCTCGGAACTAATATTGTTTCATGGAGTTCAAAGAAGCAAAAAACAGTAGCGTTATCATCCGCGGAAGCTGAGTATATTGCTGTTATAGATGCAACCTGCGAAACTATTTGGTTGAGACGATTACTAGCAGATTTAAAACAAGTTCAAAAACAGCCCACAGTAATTTACTATGATAATATGTCTACGATAGCCATGACAAAAAATCCGGTGTTTCATTCGAGAACAAAACACATTGAGTTGCGACATCATTTCATCCGAGATATGGTGAGTAATGGTGAAATCAGCTTGGAATTCATTGGAACGAATGAGCAACCCGCAGACTTTCTAACCAAGGCGATCTATGTCAAGAAATTTCAAAAGGCAAGAGACATTCTCAAAATTGCAAATTAAGAGGGGGTGTTGGAAACGTAATTTGCATTTATTATCTAGATTCATGAATTATAATTATACATGCATTTGTCCAATGTACTAGAGGTGGAGAAACGTATCTATTTAATGTTGGTTCATAAGTTAGGCTAGATACATGTTAAATCTTATCTATAAATATCCATGTAACTCAAGCCATTAAAAGTATCGAAGTAAAAAAAATTTACAATATAATATCTTCTCTTCTACAATCATAAAAAGTGCAGCAGCACTATATTACATATAATTTCGAGCATTCGATATTCCTTCTTTTTCATTCGGTTTTTAATCAATCCCCAACATTCATAAATAAATATATGTAAGAAAATCCCATTACAGAATCATCTATACCCATTTTACAGGACTCAAATGCCGAACAACACCTAAGTACACTACTTTATATGTATGTCAACGCTGCTATATGTACAGAAAATGGGACCCCAGAATTGTTACAGACACACTTGGAAACAATCTATCGGCTAACGAGGGCAAAAAAAGAAGGCACGTGGTGCACTTCTGGCAGCAATCCTAAAGGCTTGTGTGGGCTGGAAGGATTAACGTCAAATTATTGTATGTCTCTAACTTCAAATTCGTTGCGATTCTTTATGCAGATGTCATACATATGAACGGACTTAAACTTGCTGAAATCTCTGGGGAGAGAGATGAGATCAATTCTAGACCTCTTACAAAACTGGAGAAGATCAGGATCATCATAATACCTCTCCCATCCAAGTGACGATAATTTCCCTGCAAGAACATTATACGAAGTGATAACTTCGTTACTCGGCACGTGCACCAGCACTTTCCGGCGGCGGGGGACATTCGGGAACGGAAGGTCTCCGGGGTTCTCGACTAATCGTGTGACGCCATTACTGATTGACCATACACCAGCCATTTTCAATGCAGCTCAAGATTTTGTTGAGGTTTTGTCTTAAGACAACATGGCCTTGTCAGAGTTAATATAGGACTTCAAAACTATTGTATAGTTTGCAATAGGGTATGTTTGGGAATAGGTGTAGCTAAGGTAGGACCCACCTGGGAGTGGGGGTAGGGGGTAGGGTTATAGATACACTGTGTTTTTTACAGCCTTATTTGTTGGGAGAAAATTTTAAGAGTAATGCCGTTTGTACCCGGGCGTGTAAGAGTAATGCCGTTTGTACCCTGGCGTTTACATGCCCGGTTACCTGGCCCCACTGCCCTCTCACATGGGGCGAGGTCCCACATCGGGGTCCATGCGTGGGACCCGACCCCCATGTGAGGGTGGCGGTGGTGCCAGGTAACCAAGCATGTAAACGCCCGAATACGAATAGCGTGGTCCAAATTTTAATTGAATTGAGAAGAATCCAATTTCTTTATCTGATTCCTTTCTAAAGCCCACTCTTCGGGAATCTTTGAATTTTTGGAGAGAAAATTTGGAAAAATTATTATCAGACTTTTTTAAACAAATATAGGACTTCAAAACTAGGGTATGTTTGAGAATTATTGAATGAGAATTTTAACTTTCCTTAGCCAAATCATAAAAAAAATAATGGAAATTGATTATACATATATAATTTTAATTTTATTCCTTTTTTTTTTCTTTTCTATAGTTATAGTAGATTATTTAAGGCATGTTAAATATGTTGAGCTAACATAATTAAATAATACAAGTTCGAGACAACAAGTTTGTTCGTTTTTCTATCTCTATACTAAAAGTGGCGGTCATAGTTTTAGAACTGCAGAAATATTCATAATATATTCATAACTTGTGGTGAATTGTACATATGAGAAATCTTAGAACCCAAAACCAGCTAATCAAATGGTCAAAGAGCCAAAAGAGAATGGTAAAATGAGGCATTTTCTAGAAATTGAAATAAACCTTTTTTTAATCAGTAAATATGAATTTGTATTGTTCAAAAATCATGTACATGTATACTGAGCATACTCGGACAAACAATAATCAAAACAAGTACAAACGACAAAGAGACTCGAACTGAATCAAAATACGAGGATACAATGAGAACATAATCTTGTATATACATGTTTTAATCCGTTTAACAATACTATCAAAATGTCGCTGAAGGTCTTCAAAATTCTTCCTATTCCTCGCCAATTTATGTATTTGTGGAGTCACGTCAATTTCTTTGTTCCTTTAAGAAACAAAAGACATTGGCTAGGCTATTCATAGAACCTTTACCAATAAGCTTTATTGTAATGTTGGACAAGGGTAGAATTTGTAGAATAGCATATATACTCAGTAAGAAAGAAAGAGGACTCTTTCTACAAGCCCATGTGAATTTGATTCCTTCTTGATAAAGTTAAAACCTAGATATTCGAATATGTAGAAAAACTCATAATCTATCTCGTTAATTGGAAATGTATTTGATGCTCTTGATTGTGATGTGTTTAGACGTGTCACATAAATGTAACGTCAATATCGAATAATACGATTGAATAAATAAGCATGTTCAATACTTAATCTGCATAACATGCACGAATAATCTTGATCCATCAACATTACACCTCAACATTCTATATAAAATATATTTAATAGGTTATACTTTTATCCTTTTGAACATTCTTTAGTCTAACAATAATAAGGGTTGTTTATATTTCTTTGGAGATCAATGAGATGGTGCTAAAAAACAATAATTAGCATATTAAAATGCATGATTCTCATGACACTTAATTAATTAAGTGATATTAGCAATTTTTTATAGTCCAATAGTAGTTTTTGTACTTTCTCCAACAACATTTTTACCTAATTAAGTAGAATTTCTTTGGAGAAAGTACATTTTTCTTAATTAAAGTATTTCACTACATACCTAATTTAATTAATAATGGCCCCTATGAATTTATTCTCCAGTATTAGTAAAAAAAAATGCTACATAAATTTCATCGGCATGCAAAAAGTTACTTCTTTCTAAAGGTATTTGCTTAGGGGCTGATTAGAATTTTGCCAAGTTAAGAAAAATAAAGGTTTTTGCTTTTGTGTACTAGGGGAATATGAGAAAAAAAATGATGCCATTAAGACAAATAATTTGGTATTCCATCATTACATTTATGCTTAACTTTGGATTAAAATTATGGATTAAGGGAAAATTACATAGAATTTGGGAATAAAGTTATGAAATTTGGGATTGAGAATCAATTTCATTCAAAAGAAAACAAAGGCGGAGGATTTTCTTAATATTATTCGCCAATCTAGGGATAGTGACAAGATGAATGCCTAGTCACAACTCGTACAAGAATACAGTTACAAAGACATAAGTTGTAAGTCACAATTACAATTTTGGTTGCAAATTATACATTTTTTTTAGATCACATATTATTTATTTGAAGTCTTAGTCACATACCAATCATATAATTTTAAAACTACCGAAATATTCATAATTTGTCGTGAATCGTACATTTGAGAAAACTCAAAACCCAAAACTTAGCTACTCGAATGGTCAAAAAGCCAAATGAGAATGGTAAAAAGGGTATTTTCTAGAAACTGAAATTATATGTCTATAGAGAAAAGTAGGCGAAACTCAAGCTAAAGAAAATTTATAATAAAAATATTGAAGTATATACATGTAAGAAGACACAATCTTTTTGTCAATCAATATATTCCATTCGATTTTATTAATCTACAACATCGTTATGCATCCCTACACATCCAAAAGTCTTACTAGAATCAAGTTTAGACGATAGATATTTCCCATGGATAACATAAATATTCACTTGGTTGTGTTTGTGTGCCCCATAAAATGGTGACAGACAAACAAGATGTGAAAAAAGATGCCACAAATTGGAAGTAGTACAAACCAAATGTGGCAAGTTAGCTTGATTCTTGGCCTTTATTTTATTATTTAACCCAACAATCCCAAAATGTAGGCATATTTTCGTAGGCCTTTGTACTACACTTGTGCCTCGCCCCCCTCACCAAAAGTCAGCTGACCAAGGCTATCACTACCCTTGTTAAGACAAAGATATGGTTTTTGGACTGAAAGTCCGAAATTATTGAAGTTTCTAGTGAATTCTGTCTTTTAAATAGTAAAGAATCTATAATGAGAACTGCTCTGTTTTTCGAAACGCTTCTTTTGGATCATGAAGAATCTCAAAAAATTGAGCAGAATGCCTTCGAATAGTGTTGTCTGAATCTAAAGTTGTGCAACTATCTAAATATTGAATTTATCCTTCATTCTAACTAATACACTAGGAAAAAATGTTTTTGTAGGAATAAGATCTTTTCATAGTGCATGTTTCCTTCTTGATTTTGTCTAGAGCCTCATATTTAAGTTGATTAATTTTAAAATAATTTTTGTACCAAGCGCACATACACGAGAGTATTTATGTGCGTTGGAGTTACTTCTTCAAAAAAGAAAAATAATCGTTAGTAGAATTTATATATAAACAAGTAAATCTAAGTTTCGTTTTTGATAATCTAGAGATGAAATTGATAGTAAAATTATCTTCCTGATGTATATTTAGAATGGGGGTGGATATTAAAATTACATAACAAAACCTTTATTTGGTAGCCATGTGGAAAATCCCCAATTCTTCGTTTCCCACATAACGTTAATTTGTGAAGTCACATCAATTTCTATGTTTCTTAATTTGTTCAAATAAAGTTTTTTCAAAAGAAAATTGTTAGGCTATTCGTAGAACCTTTACCCACATGATTTGATGTAATATAATGTTGTATCGGTGGTAGAATTTGTTAAATGGTATATAGCCTTACTAAGAAACGGAAAGGTTCTTTCCAGGGAAATTTCTACAAGCCCATGACCACTTCTTGATAATGTCAAAATCTAGATATTCAAAAATTATATAAATCAACATATTAAGTGAGAAACCTTCAAGAAAAAACTAATATCAAGTGACACCTTTTCTTCAAGAATATGAGAAGTAGAATTTGGTGGTGAATCGTCAAACTTAGGCCTAGTTTGGTGGGAATTTTCACCCCAAAAAATTAATATTTTGATCGTTATTTCACTATTTCAGCCATCATTTTTTATTTCTGCATTCACATGTGGCCCTCTCTCACTCTTTTTTCTCACGATAAAAAAATCAATTATCAAAATCCCCACCTCTTATGTATGTGATTTCACATTTGAAATTCGTAGCTCAATAATGGTTGAATACCAATAGACGCAATCAATTTCGAATCTCTTTAATAATGGTTTTGGATGTACGTATAATAAACCGTCAACTAATCTATACAATTGCTCCCCTGCTTTTTTGAATAAAAATGGAAAGGAAATTACATACGCAATAACAAAAGGAAATTACATATGCAAACCGTCATCATTTTTGACGAATTGTTAGTCAAATTTGATTGGAATCCAATCAGTGAAAAGTGGTTTTTGATTTCCTGATAACTTCGATTTTGTTCATTTTTCGCGAATTGTTAGTCTAATTCGATTGAAATTGAGTCAATGAAAAGTGATTTTTGATTTCATAAAAATTTTCGATTTGTTCGTTTTTGACGAATTGCTAATCAAATTCTATTTGGCTAGAGTCAATAAAAAGTGGTTTTTGATTTCATGATAACTACTCTATACAATTGCTCCCCTCCTTTTTTGAATAAAAATGGAAAGGAAATTACATACGCAATAACAAAAGGTCGAGGTTCGGTTGAAGGGTGGCACCACCGCCAGACAGCAATCCCAGCCACCGCAGAGTACAGGTTCAGTTTGTTCTAGGGTCCAAATAACAGCAGCTGCTCTGCCAAGCCAGCTTATACACATTCATGTGATCCTTACACACCCAATCATTTAAACCACTGCGGTACTAGCTTTTGATCTGGGCGCACCGACACTTCAGGGCCGGTTACTTAATTGCTGCAGAGAGCCATCCAATGGCCCTCTCAAAGGTCCAAACAACAAACTGAAACTTACTGCGTGCTAGTCCAGGGACGCAAACTGCTGGCGATGTAGCCACCATGACAAGCCTTCCGCCGCCTTATTGCCCCCACTTGGGTTACAGGCACGCGTTACTGCACCCGGCAGCCACACGTCTAGGCATAGGTAATATAAAGTGTGAAAAACTTTTAAAGATTCTCGATGTGGGACAATATAGTAAACGACATAGTTTTGCAGAAAATTCTACGCTGCGGTCTCATGGAGGCAATGTTGCAGCTTAGGTACCTCGAATCCTTCCCCTCTCTCAAACCGCTCTGTATTCTCTCTCTAAAGCATGGATTTTTGGAGGGTTTTGCTTTGCGAAGAGGAAATGGGCTTGACAACCATCGAAAAACCGGGTCGAGTTATGGCCCATAATGTTAACGTGTATATAATTGCAGTGATTTAAGTTTACAAGGATATGTCTGGGATTACCTCTTCATTCATCTTCTGCTTTTTATAAATGAATCACTTTGGGTTTTAAAAAGCTTTATTAACCAAATAAAACACTCTTAGAAAATTATCCAAATAAATCAAAATTCAACTACTTTATCCCGATCTCGTATGAACTAAAATCTATATTTTAATTTAAATCAAAGTCAATTAATTTTAAGTATACATGTCGTAAACTTTTATCGAAATTTATTAAGTATCTAACTTTAATTCTTACCAAATATGGACTAGTCTCCAAAGACATACTAAACAAGCCCTCAATTTGTTTCATCTCTAACAACTTAAAGGCTTAGATCATTATGGTCATTGCCAATTTAGGAAAATAGGCATTTGGAATAATGATATTTGATTACTAGGGGAAATTTTTGTTATATCTAACTTAACCTTTCAAATCACATTGTTTAATCGTGATTAACTCCTAATAATGAATGTATATCAGCATCATCCTTAATGAATGAAAATATCTAATTCAACTGTTAAAATATATATATATATATATATATATATATATATAAATTAAGGAATCTTAATATTTAATCATCGTTGAGCTCGATGGAACTTGTACTAATATGCTTAACAAAAAATAAGAAAAAAATAATATTTGTCTAATAAAGCGTCCAATACAATCAAATATGGGATATCGAAAAAAAAAATACGCAATAAAAATTTTTGTTCCCTGAATATCAAAAATCTCCTCTCCTCTAACCAGCTACTTTGCTCATTTCTCCCTATGCCAAAAACATATAGATTTATCAATGACGGCTCCTGGCTCATTTCCCCCTTTGTTGCAGGTAATTTCTTTGATTCTTGATGCTCAATAGTATTCTCTAATCCTCCTCCGTAATGGGATTAGCTTATAAAGAAGTAGAAAATATCTAGGACTACAATGTTATATATCACGATTTCCTACTAAAACAATGCAATCACCAGCATAGTATAATCCGAAAATTTCTAGAAGATATTTCCCTTGAGCAAGAGGTTCATTTGTAAAGCAAAGCTCAAATATGAATACTATGGTCATTGGTTATCTTTTCTTTTACTGCTGTTCTCTGGAGGAAGTGCTGTGAACTGGATGATCCTTTGAACTTGGGCAGCATCGACATGAAACCTCTCAGCAATTTGAGGAATATTCATAGGACCATCATGATCATCAGCCTTGCCTTGGTGCAGCAGGATGATTTGGCGTATTTGTGCAACATTTAGGGTTCCGGGAGGAGCAGGTAATTCCTCGTATCTGCTAGAATCTAGTGTCGTATTCCTTAGTTTAGGCAAAGGCCTTTTGTACTTCTCCACCAAAAAGGCCTGTGAAAATAGTTCGGGGTCAATAATAGATTCGCTTGATATAAACAAAAATAGCCGAAGGACTCGATCATTCAAATTCACTATCAGCCCCTTAATGAGCCGTACGAAATGGCAAAAAAGATTTGTATAGCCAACCTCAAATTTGTTAAGAACGAGGCTCAGTTCAAAAATACTCTGTTTAGACCATTCCAATTCAAACATAACACAACTGACTGCAAACTCATGCCTGATAAGTTTGTTCTAGGGTCCAAATAACAGCAGCTGCTATGCCAAGCCAGCTTATACACATTCATGTGATCCTTACACACCCAATCATATAAACCACTGCGGTACTAGCTTTTGATCTGGGCGCACCGACACTTCAGGGCCGGTTACTTAATTGCTGCAGAGAGCCATCCAATGGCCCTCTCAAAGGTCCAAACAACAAACTGAAACTTACTGCGTGCTAGTCTAGGGATGGCAAACTGCTGGCGATGTAGCCACCATGACAAGCCTTCCGCCGCCTTATTGCCCCCACTTGGGTTACAGGCACGCGTTACTGCACCCGGCAGCCACACGTCTAGGCATAGGTAATATAAAGTGTGAAAAACTTTTAAAGATTCTCGATGTGGGACAATATAGTAAACGACATAGTTTTGCAGAAAATTCTACGCTGCGGTCTCATGGAGGCAATGTTGCAGCTTAGGTACCTCGAATCCTTCCCCTCTCTCAAACCGCTCTGTATTCTCTCTCTAAAGCATGGATTTTTGGAGGGTTTTGCTTTGCGAAGAGGAAATGGGCTTGACAACCATCGAAAAACCGGGTCGAGTTATGGCCCATAATGTTAACGTGTATATAATTGCAGTGATTTAAGTTTACAAGGATATGTCTGGGATTACCTCTTCATTCATCTTCTGCTTTTTATAAATGAATCACTTTGGGTTTGAAAAAGCTTTATTAACCAAATAAAACACTCTTAGAAAATTATCCAAATAAATCAAAATTCAACTACTTTATCCCAATCTCGTATGAACTAAAATCTATATTTTAATTCAAATCAAAGTCAATAATAATTTTAACTATACATGTCGTAAACTTTTATCGAAATTTATTAAGTATCTAACTTTAATTCTTACCAAATATGGACTAGTCTCCAAAGACATACTAAACAAGCCCTCAATTTGTTTCATCTCTAACAACTTAAAGGCTTAGATCATTATGGTCATTGCCAATTTAGGAAAATAGGCATTTGGAATAATGATATTTGATTACTAGGGGAAATTTTTGTTATATCTAACTTAACCTTTCAAATCACATTGTTTAATCGTGATTAACTCCTAATAATGAATGTATATCAGCATCATCCTTAATGAATGAAAATATCTAATTCAACTGTTAAAATATATATATATATATATATATATATATATATAAATTAAGGAATCTTAATATTTAATCATCGTTGAGCTCGATGGAACTTGTACTAATATGCTTAACAAAAAATAAGAAAAAAATAATATTTGTCTAATAAAGCGTCCAATACAATCAAATATGGGATATCGAAAAAAAAAATACGCAATAAAAATTTTTGTTCCCTGAATATCAAAAATCTCCTCTCCTCTAACCAGCTACTTTGCTCATTTCTCCCTATGCCAAAAACATATAGATTTATCAATGACGGCTCCTGGCTCATTTCCCCCTTTGTTGCAGGTAATTTCTTTGATTCTTGATGCTCAATAGTATTCTCTAATCCTCCTCCGTAATGGGATTAGCTTATAAAGAAGTAGAAAATATCTAGGACTACAATGTTATATATCACGATTTCCTACTAAAACAATGCAATCACCAGCATAGTATAATCCGAAAATTTCTAGAAGATATTTCCCTTGAGCAAGAGGTTCATTTGTAAAGCAAAGCTCAAATATGAATACTATGGTCATTGGTTATCTTTTCTTTTACTGCTGTTCTCTGGAGGAAGTGCTGTGAACTGGATGATCCTTTGAACTTGGGCAGCATCGACATGAAACCTCTCAGCAATTTGAGGAATATTCATAGGACCATCATGATCATCAGCCTTGCCTTGGTGCAGCAGGATGATTTGGCGTATTTGTGCAACATTTAGGGTTCCGGGAGGAGCAGGTAATTCCTCGTATCTGCTAGAATCTAGTGTCGTATTCCTTAGTTTAGGCAAAGGCCTTTTGTACTTCTCCACCAAAAAGGCCTGTGAAAATAGTTCGGGGTCAATAATAGATTCGCTTGATATAAACAAAAATAGCCGAAGGACTCGATCATTCAAATTCACTATCAGCCCCTTAATGAGCCGTACGAAATGGCAAAAAAGATTTGTATAGCCAACCTCAAATTTGTTAAGAACGAGGCTCAGTTCAAAAATACTCTGTTTAGACCATTCCAATTCAAACATAACACAACTGACTGCAAACTCATGCCTGATAAACACAAATGCAATCAAACTTCCATAACCCTAGCAAAAACTAGAAGCTGAACTCAAATCTGAAGAATTGGACAAACATTAAGTGTATAAGCCATTAGGATTTATGTCAAGAGATTTGACAAAATTTTACAGTCGATGTCAACCTACCGCATCCTCCATCACCTGGTATTGAGAATGAGACTGACTATTACAAATATTAAGCCCCTGTTTGAGCCTCATTTTAAAACTCATTTTCAACTACAAATTCTCCCAATAAAACGTAAATCAAATTTTTTAACACCACATTTTCTAGAAAAAAAATCACTTTTTACAAATCTATTCTCAAAAAATGGGGCTCGAGGGCTAGATAACGACTTTATACTCAACGATAATGAGTCGCAGAAAACAAATAGCATCACGGTACAAGAACTCACTGGCTTTTTCAAAAATGAAGCAAGCAAGGTGCCTTCTAGCCGTATATACATTGATCTACTGCCCCCAACGAATATTCTCCTTGATCAGACGATCTCGGTACCACAAGGCATCCTCCCAAGGCTTGACTAGTTAATGGAGATGGAACAATTGGCACAAGCCAATCAAATATTTCTCAGTAATTAAACTAGCTTCTTGTGAATAATTGACCAAGACCCTATAGTGAATTCATAAAGGAGGAAAAAGCATTGCAATAATTAAATAATGACTTCATATGTGTTAATGAATCACACACGAGTGCCTTATCATAGCTGTTTATACAATGCCTATATGGGAAACATTATAAGCAAATGCCATCAAATCAAAGAAAAGCTCTTCTCATGATTCAATTTAAAGGAACTATGCATTGAAGCGACCAGTTCAGGTATCAAAAATTTAGTATCGCCGATTTATCAGGATAATTTGTTTACGAACTATGAAAAGCTTTAACGTTAACCAGCTTGAAAAACACACCTCGCCCATCTCAAGCTTTCCTCCAGGTTTTGATTGAATCCTACCTACCATTTGACCAAGCATAGCATCATATCCTGGATCTCGCTCTTCAAGAACATTTTCTGCATTCACTCTAGCTGCATCCTCTACAATATTATGAGAGAAAACAGAAAAGATAAATTTTCCACCAAAACGCATAAATTTAGTCTACATTATTCACTAATAAATGCCTCTGAATTTATGTTTTTAACAGTATCCAAACATTTTAATGCTTATTCCCATGGTGAACATCTACTACATTGTTTAGTACCCAGCGAAATAAATCTAGTAAAAAACCACCATTATAATTAAAGAGCTCCTTCAGTTGTTATCCAACTAATCCTTAAGCACTATGTGGATAAAATTGCTCATTTAAGCCTTTTAAGCGCTATACCATGTCAATCCCAGCTTAAGCTTATAGAAGGGCCACTTTCAAATCATGATTTTTACCTAATTTTAACAGTACACTCATTCTCAAATATTAACCCATACACGAGCATTTAAATTATCCAAAAATTTGAGAAATACGGTGATCAAATTAAGAAGCCTACCGTACATAAGCATCAAATAAATAAATAGTCCTGGAAATTAATGTACAAAAAATTTACCAGAATCAACGTCATTAATGGGAACCTTGTCACTAGGAACCGCCGGTGGGTTCTCGCCAATGGGTTTCTTGATCTTCGATGACACTGACGGCGTGGTATCAACTCCCGAGCTGCCGATCCTTCCAGTTGCTCGACGAAATGCCTGACCCATTACTCTCAAATTTGTCCACTTAAATAAATAAGCTGGTATCATATACTCATCGTTCTTTCCGCCCCTTTATGTGGGCCTCGTACATATTCCTCCGAGTCCAGTCCATCATTCCTCACGGGCCGCTGTATCTGACCCAATAATGCATTAACAAGGTTTTGGCTCTAATCTTTTACTCAATTTGAATTTGAAAATAAAAATGTTACCAACTTCTACTACGTTTCAACTTTAGCAAACATGCTCTTAAGAATCAACTTCCAATTAAGAAATTAAATTAAAATTCTAGATAAATTGCATTAAAATAGCAAATTAAAATGGATAAATTTGAAGTCTATAAGATACTGTCACCCTACCCAAAATGTATGTATTACCACCAAATAAACGTACGTACAAAATAGAAATGAAAAAAAAAATGTCTCTTCATTGTATCTATAATGAAGGTTTGATCTTTTCTATAATATATTGTGGATCGTACAATTCCTAGTTCATTTATGTTTACGTGAAAATCTTGTATTTTCAAGATATGGAATCAAGGTTTATATAAATAATGATTTTATATGAAATAGTTATACGAACCATATAAGACTGATGTGAGAAGTCGAAACTGATTTGACATCCGGCTTGATAATATGTAAGAAATTGTGTTCAGTAGAACATTGGAGGCGAATCAATTTTATTTTTTCTTTTTAAAAGTAGAATGATTAATTTTATGTCTTGATATTTGATATGAATTTGACCACTTAATTATCAACCCCTTTACTATTGTAAATCAATGTAGGTTTAAAAGATGGCAATGATTTTTGAAATCAACACATAAAAATAAACATTCACATGCCATGTCAATAGTCATAATAATATTAGTCGGCCCAAGTTGATTCACATGCAGTCCAGGACATAACACCATGGTGGCATTATGAAATACACTTTTGTAATTTTCTATTTTGTGTGCGTTTGATTGCGAGCATAAAATCTGTATGAAAAGAAAATAAATTTTACGTAATTGAATTGACTAAAACTTATTTGTATGAAAATTATTAATTAAATGTGTTTGATTGATTTAATTTTCAACATAAAACGTATTATACTTGTCAATTTTTATTGGTAGGTAGATGAGAGAGAATGGGTGAATTACTTGAAAAATAAAAATCACCCCTCCCTAAAAACATATTTTCTTTATTTTTGAGAAAAATATGATCACATGACCAAAAATTGAAAAATATTTTCTTTGAAAAAATTTGTAAACCAAACACCCTAAAAGTATGGAAAATAAAAATAATCAAATGCACTCTAATTTGAATAATTATAAGAGCATTACTAATAGACTATCGATTTTTATAGAACATATTTTACAATTTAGCCCACTATTTATCCTCCATTTTTTCAGAACTCTTTTTTCTTCGTAGTTATTTTCTACCACATATTAAAACAATAATATATTTTATACTTGAATCCAAAAATTTTCTCTATTTTTTTAACTGCACATTTTCCAAAAATTCACTATTCAAAAGTCAAAACAATGTTTTCCAAAAAAAACGGCCACCAAATAGGGACTTAGAGAGCATTTATAAATTTAGATAGAAAAATTTTTGAATACTTCAACGTCATTTTTATCTTTAACACTTAATTTTACTGCTCTCAATATGTATTCATTATTCTTACCTCCCTCTTATTTTCACCTGCTTTCCTTCAAACTAGTATATTATTTCCTTCAATTTTCTATGTATATACTAGTTAATTAAGTCAATTTATGAAGCATTGAAAATTGAAGTATTTTGAATGTTTTCTCTCCAAATTTGAAGAGTCAAACCCGCTCTATATTTAAAATGTTGATTGAAGAATCTCTTAGATCATAATTTTAATGGTTAACTTTTTAGAATAGTGAGTTTCACTTTTAAAAGTTTCTAGGATATGCTCTAAAAAACCTTATTTTCCATATATAGCGATCATCATAGCGAAATGGATTATAAAAGAGATGAAATCACTTTTGTACATACTGAAAGTAAATGGGGCTAAGTGATTTTTCAGAAGTAAAATACCTCGATCATCTTTCACGACGAACATATTTTAGACGACATTAAAACCCTAACTCGACATGGTGCGTAGTTTCCATTTCCAAGGTAGTTTTGCATTCTTTGGGGTGGGGGTGGGATGGGGTGCGGTGCGGTGGGGGTTCAAATGGGTGATAAAAACAATATCACTTGAAGTGGTCTGCATAAATGGAGACATCGAATTGAAATGGAGAAAAGGGCCCTTAACATACCACTCACTCCCCTCTCAAATTACAAACAACCAACCAAATTGTACTTGTGATATTTTTTACTTTACCTTCAAATTTGATTCCATTACTTTATTCCCCTTTAGACACCCAAATCTTCATCCACCGTCCAATTTTCACTACAAACAAACATGAAGTGACTAGTTATTGTGCAAATGTACAAACATTTTACGTTCATAGAGTTGGTTCAAAGTCAACAATAATAATTGAAATTTATTTACGTATTAATATGTTAGTTAGTTATCAATTCAAATGCGACTCACATTTTCTACTCAGTTATAAGATGAAAAATGAATATATATTTGCCGAGTTCAACTACGTTGTACTTTTAAGTCTAGTGAGAAAATGGTATGGACATGCAGAGAGAGAGAGAGAATTAGAAATCTTATTTAATTGCTTGTTTTGAAATGTGTTTTAA